TAATGGAACTGCATTTATGTGTATATAATGGAACTGCATGTGTGTGCATATAATGGAACTGCATGTATGTGCACATACAGCAGATAGACAATGCCAATACATACAATTAACAGATACATATATGTATTCTCCACAACTACCCATAAATACAGACTACATACATTTTAATACACATACACACACAGGTATTATATGTGTGTATACACACAGATATAAATGTGTACACACACTGTGTGTCCTGGAAGATGCCAAGCAGAAGGAACAAGCTGGGATGGAGCGGAGAAGCAGGACAGAGGGTCACAAAAACCTCTCGCCCCGATGGTGCAGGTGTGGTCTGACAGAGCCCAAACCCCTTTGTGCTGTGACTCACACACACGGTTACTCACCCCCGCCGTGCGCAGGCTGCAGGGCAGCCCTCGGGTCCTGCCGCTGCCGGGAGAGCCACGCCGGAGCCCGCTGCGCTGGGAGGGCAGGCAGCCCCCCACGGCCCCCACGGCCCCCACGCCGCTCCCACGGCCAACGCTCGGCCTCCAGCACCTCTCTGTGTAGCATGCAGGGCTGGACTTGGGGCCAGAATCTGTCCAACACATGCAAACAGAATTTCGGTTAAAGGAAGCTGCAGAGGTCACCGACACCTACTCAAGAGAATACAGGACGTCCCAAGCTCATTTTTATTAAACTCCTTAAGTTCTAGTTTAAGTTGAGAACGTGCTCTTTAATAAGCGCTTCAGCTACAGCTCTGTAGAGAGAAGTCAATCCATTTTGAAAAGTTCAACATTTAAAGCATTACATACTATACTTAAAATTCAAAGAAATAAAATCTGTCTTTTAACTGTGACAAATTTTGTTTAAATTTTGTTGCAAAGAAAAAAAAATTGCCAATGAGTTATTACAGATGTTACGTGCTAATAAACTAGACTGAGATTCCCATTTTGCTAAACTCACTGCTTCTCTACATAAATCCTTTTTAAAAGGAAAAAAGAGAAAGTATGTCACAGTGCAGAGTGAAGTATCGCTATTTATTGACCCTCATTCACCCGCACATTTAACACACACACACATTAAAGAGCTCCCCAGATGTTCCACTTTCCCTTCCCCTCTCCTGCTGCCGGCGATGGAAGCGGGGGACGGTGTAAGGAAGAGAAAAGCAGCTTCAAAACTCCAGCAGCCAAAGGAGGGGGAGGTTTGGGGAGCAGGCAGGGCCCCGGGACCCCCCGGCCGTGTGTGGGGGTGCATGAGGGGAGTGAGGGGTGGGGGGACAGTGGCCGGGCACAATGTGCTCTCCTTAAATAGCTCCTACTGCCACTGCCCGAGACAAGATCCCCAGCTAAATGCTCCCTTAACGTCACCCAGGAGGACATCCCTGATACTAATATATTTCCAGGTAGGAGATGCAGAGAAAAATATAAAGACGGGATGAATTTTTTTTCCACCTTGTTTCCTGACACACCAGCAAGGTGGAAATCAGTGCAGTTTAACACTTTTTTCCTTGCTTTCCCCCCGGGTATTGTGGAAATGCAGGGGATGAAATGTAACACACTTCATCCTAACACAGCAGGACACAGCGCCCACAGCAGAGCAAGGGGAGGAAGAGTCTGAAGCCAGGGAGTCCATCGGGAATTCTGCAAAAACACAACCTCCACCTGGGGATCCAGGGATCTACACTCATTTGGGTTTTTTTGCTTTTGAAAAACCAGCCATTTCTGAGAGGAAATACTTCACGCGGCCATACTTTGTTATTAAGCTTTTTGGTGACACAGGACTAACATCTGGTGGGAGTAAGAAGGTGGAAGTTGCCCCAGCTTCATCCAAAGTAAAAACCAGGAAAGGTCTAAAACTCTGCCGTGGTGATTAAGCTTTCCTGATGATGATGGATGCTGCACATTCCATAATCTGTTGTTATATTGGTAGTTACAGAAAAATGTTAATTTCTGCTCTTTACCGATTTAGCACAAAGAATAATTCCGACTTGGTGAGCAACGCTGGACTGAGCAGCTCCCAGAACAACAAAAAGTAACTGGAGATCGAGTTCTCCACCGTATCGAATGCCCAGGCTGATGCAGCACCGCCATCCGCTCCACGTTATCATACATCAGACACTATTTTCTTCTTATTTTACCTCCCTTCTCACAGCCATTAAGAGAAAAATCAGAACCAATGCCTCAAAAGTGTGATACTTAGCCCAGCTCTGAAGGAGAGGGATAATTTCTGCGACTAAAAAACATGCTGAAACTCGGGAGGAGTCGGCTTCAATTGATCAGAACTTTGAGAATCTGTGTTGGTGAAAGCTGTGGAGCACGTTCTGTTCAGAGCCAACAGGGACACGGGGTCCTTCCCACCGAAAGGACAGGGTTTCCCAAGCGTTTCCTACGCAGGTCCCCGTGGGGTGGCACTGGGAGAGGGACAGGAGCGCCCTGCGGGACCCGGGGCCGAGGGGGGCCGGGCTCAGGGCTCTCCTCAAAAGCTTCAACCCCCGCTCCTGAGCCACGGCGCCGCGGGGCTTTGGTGGGGGCTTAACGGAGATGGACACCGTGGGGTGGAGAGAGCAACTTCTCCCCCTGAAAAATAAAAAGGAAATCACGTGCCGTCTTTTAATTCCGTCTTTCTAATAAGGCTACAAGTAACAAACTCTTTAGCGGCGTAAGCTCAATTAGCCTATTCATGAACACAGTTCAGATTCTTCTGAAAAAAACGTCAAATTCCAAATTGCACAATAATAATCCATTTCCTGCGGGAAAAAAAAAGACAAAATATGAACAATTAAGTAAAAGCCTAATTCTATTTTGAAGTACATCACCGTTCATCATGGATCATTTAAAAACATCATGAGTATGTTCCAAACAAGTGCTCAACAAAACCAGTCATGAACATGTGGCAAAAGTACAAAACTCCTTCGCAATATTGACAGATAATTTCATTTCAGTGTTAACACTAGCATAAAATATCTAGGCGTTGTTCCATTTAATTTTGAAAATACCATATAGAAAACAATGCTCATAATTCCATCCACAGGATTCTACAAAGCTGCTGCTTCATTCAACAAATCTTTGACCTGTTTCAATATGAAAATTCCCATGTCTCAAATTGCTCAAAAATCATTGCAGAAAATTTCCAAGCACTTGAATTGAAGCACAACCAAAGTATGAACTTGGTACATTGTTGCAGTTATTTCTAATTAATAAATAAGTTAATTTACAGAAGTAGTCTCAAAATAACACAATGGGATTCAACTTCATTTTAGACATTTGGAAAGCAGTGTCATACTTTATTTAAAATAAACCCATGTAAAAACAAAGTTTAAATGAAAATGGTACCTGAAAAATAAATTATTTGATATAAAACAAATCAATAACTTAAAAACACACTAAATATACAAAATGTTTAACCATATACTGTACAGTATGGAAAACAATTGATAAAACCTTCTGTCCCACAAACAGATTAATTTATAAACAAAAGATTACATAAGTTAAGGGAAATTAAACCAATAAAAAGACTAGAAGTACAGTATTATTCGAAATTACTGGTCAAATAAAGGTTTATCCCAACTTAAGTTTCAAATGTCTCAAGTCATTTTCTTCTCAATGACCAAGTGAAAAAGTTCAGCTGTTCCACCCAAAAGTTGCTCCGAAAGGTTTAAAAATAAGGAACAATAGTATGAGAATAAAGGTTCTAAAACGTGAACACAGTAGCAATTTGTCAGGGTTTCAGGTGGCAGTTCTACTGTTACGGATTTTCCATCATTCTCAACACAAAAAGAATTTAAGTGCTGAAAATTCCACTCAACAGAAAAATATTTCTAGTTCAACTTTTGTAAGTGTTTGACCAAGCACGATATTTAACAAATAACCGCAGCAAGAGGGAAGGAAACGGGAACGGGCTTAAGGTCAAATCCACTCCCGGGGTGATGCTGCCTTTGGCTTTAGAGATCCCAAAGGCTTCGACTGGTTTTTACCCCGTGCAGGAGGGGAAAGCAACACTGGGGGCTCCCGGGGCTTCCCTACAGGAGCTGCTGCTGAGCAGCCCCCCCCCCCC